CCAACTCACACACTCACTCATCCACTCACTCACTCACTCATCCACTCACTCACTCATCCACACATTCACTCACCCACTCACTCACTCACTCATCCACTCACCCATCCACTCACTCACTCATCCACTCACTCATCCACCCATCCACTCACTCATCCACTCACTTACCCACTCACTCATCCACCCATCCACTCACTCATCCACTCACTCACTCATCCACTCACTCATCCACTCACTCATCCACTCACTTACCCGCTCATCCACTCACTCACTCATCCACTCATTCATCCACTCACTCGCCCACTCACTCATCCACTCACTCACTCATCCACTCACTCACTTACCCGCTCATCCACTCACCCATTCACTCACTCACCCACTCATCCACTAACTCACTCACCCATCCACTCACTCACACACTCATCCACTCACTCACACACTCATCCACTCACACACTCACATACTCATCCACTCACTCACCCATCTACTCACTCACTCATCCACTCACTCATCCACTCACTCACTCATCCACTCACTCACTCACCCACTCACTCACACACTCACTCACACACTCACCTGTTCACCCACTCATTCACTCACTCATCCACTCACTCATCTACTTATCTACTCACTCATTCACTCACTCACCCATCCACTCACACACACCCACTCACACACTCTTTCACTCACTCACCCACTCACTCATCCACTCACTCATCCACTCACTAACTAACTCACTCATCCACTCACTCATCCACTCACTCACTCACTAACTTACTCATCCACTCACTAACTCACACACTAACTCACTCACTCACACACTCACTAACACACACTCACTCACTAACTCACTCATCCACTCACTCGGGTGGTGGCGGCCTTTGACGACACAACTGACACATTTACGCGAGAGAAATTTAACGGCAACATTTGTCGCAATGAATAAATCGAGGAGGCGACGACGTTTCGGGGCACGCACCCCTTTATCAGCACGAAACACGAATCACATCGGACAGCCGAAAAATCCTCATGGACAGCTGTCTATGTGTTGTCTGTCTGTGTGTGTCTGTGTGTGTCTGTGTGTGTGTCTGTCTGTGTGTGTGTCTGTGTGTCTGTCCGTGTGTCTGTGTGTGTCTGTGTGTGTGTGCTGTCTGTGTGTCTGTGTGTGTGTGTCTGTGTGTGTGTCTGTGTGGTGTCTGTGTGTGTCTGTGTGTCTGTCCGTGTGTCTGTGTGTGTCTGTGTGTGTGTGCTGTCTGTGTGTCTGTCTGTGTGTCTGTGTGTGTGTCTGTGTGTCTGTGTGTCTGTGTGTGTGTGCTGTCTGTGTGTCTGTCTGTGTGCTGTCTGTCTGTGTGCTGTCTGTCTGTGTGTGTGTTGTCTGTCTGTGTGCTGTCTGTGTGTGTCTGTCTGTGTGTATGTGTGTCTGTGCTGTCTGTCTGTGTGTCTGTCTGTGTGTCTGTGTGCTGTCTGTTTGTGTGTATGTGTGTGTGCTGTCTGTCTGTGTGCTGTCTGTCTGTGTGTGTATGTGTGTCTGTGCTGTCTGTCTGTGTGCTGTCTGTCTGTGTGCTGTCTGTGTGCTGTCTGTCTGTGTGCTGTCTGTGTGGTGATTGATTGTCTGTGTGTCTGTGTGTCTGTGTGCTGTGTGTCTGTGTGTCTGTGTGTGTGGTGATTGATTGTCTGTGTGTCTGTGTGTCTGTGTGTGTGGTGATTGATTGTCTGCTACAACCTAGCAGCACTTGCCCCTACAGCCCTGCTAGAGGCTACCTGGGGGAGCTTTGTCTGTGTGTGTACGTCTTAGGTGGTGCTACTTGCTACTAGAAGCACTTGCCCCTACAGCCCTGCCAGAGGCTACCTGGGGGAGCTTTGTCTTTGTTGTGGGTGAGTGATTGAATGAGTGAGTGAGTGACTGGGTGAGTGAGTGGGTGAGTGAGTGAGTGGCTGAGGTGAGTTGGTGCGTGAGTGACTGAGTGGCTGAGTGAGTGAGTGACTGGGTGAGTGGGTGAGTGAGTGAGTGGGTGAGTGAGTGGCTGGGTGAGTGAGTGGGTGAGTGAGTGGGTGAGTAGGTGAGTGGCTGAGGTGAGTTGGTGCGTGAGTGACTGAGTGGCTGAGTGAGTGAGTGACTGGGTGAGTGAGTGGGTGAGTGAGTGGCTGGGTGAGTGAGTGGGTGAGTGGTTGAGTGAGTGAGCGAGTGAGTGGCTGAGTGAGTGAGCGAGTGAGTGGCTGGATGGGTGAGTGAGTGAGTGAGTGGCTGAGTGAGTGAGCGGGTGAGTTAGTGAATGGATGAGTGAGTGAGCGGGTGAGTGAGCGAGTAGCTGAGTGAGTAGCTGAGTGAATGGCTGGGTAGGTGAATGACTCAGTGAGTGGCTGGGTAACTGAGTGAGTAGGTGAGTGAGTGAGTGGCTGAGTGAGTGAGTGAGTCACTGAGTGACTGAGTGACTGAGTTAGTCGCTGAGCATTGAGGCAGGCACGTGACTTGTGAGTGAGTGAGTTAGTGAATGACTGAGTGGGTGATTGAGTGACTGAGTGAGTGAGTGAGTGACTGAATGGCTGATTGAGTGAATGAGTGAGTGACTGAGTGAGTGACTGAGTGAGTGGGTGAGTGAGTGAGTGGGTGAGTGAGTGTGTGAGTGACTGAGTGACTGAGTGAGTGAGTGACTGACTGAGTGAGTGGCTAAGTGAGTGACTGAGTGAGTGAGTGAGTCACTGAATGAGTGACGAGTGACTGAGTGAGTGACTAAGTGAGTGAGTGACTGAGTGAGTGAGTGAGTGACTGAGTGAGTGAGCGACTGAGTGAGTGACTGAGTGAAAGACTGAGTGAGTGACTGAGTGAGTGACTGAGTGAGTGATTGAGTGAGTGAGTGACTGAGTGAGTCACTGAGTGAGTGACTGAGTCAGTCATTGAGTGACTGAGTGAGTGGGTGAGTGAGTGACTGAGTGAGTGACTGAGTGAGTGAGTTAGTCGCTGAGCATGGAGGCAGGCACGTGACTTGTGAGTGAGTGGCTGAGTGAGTGGGTGAGTGACTGAGTGACTGAGTGAGTGACTGAGTGGGTGACTGAGTGAGTGAGTGGGTGAGTGACTGAGTGAGTGACTGAGTGAGTGAGTGGGTGAGTGACTGAGTGAGTGAGTGAGTGAATGAGTGAGTGGGTGAGTGACTGAGTGACTGAGTGAGTGAGTGGATGAGTGACTGAGTGAGTGAGTGAATGAGTGAGTGGGTGAGTGACTGAGTCACTGAGTGAGTGACTGAGTGAGTGAGTGACTGTGTGAGTGACTGTGTGAGTGACTGAGTGAGTGAGTGGGTGAGTGACTGAGTGAGTGACTGAGTGACTGAGTGAGTGACTGAGTGAGTGACAGAGTGAGTGAGTGACTGAGTGAGTGACTGAGTGAGTGACTGAGTGACTGAGTGAGTGAGTAAGTGACTGAGTGACTGAGAGACTGCGTGAGTGACAGAGTGAGTGAGTGACTGAGTGAGTGAGTGAGTGACTGAGTGACTGAGTGCCTGAATGAGTGACTGAGTTAGTCGCTGAGCATGGAGGCAGGCACGTGACTTGTGAGTGAATGACTGAGTGAGTGACTGAGTGACTGAGTGAGTGACTGAGTGAGTGACTGAGTGAGTGGGTGAGTGACTGAGTCACTGAGTGAGTGACTGAGTGACTGAGTGAGTGACTGAGTGAGTGACTGAGTGAGTGAGTGACTGAGTGACTGAGTGACTGTGTGAGTGACTGAGTGACTGAGTGACTGAGTGACTGTGTGAGTGACTGAGTGACTGAGTGACTGAGTGAGTGACTGAGTTAGTCGCTGAGCATGGAGGCAGGCACGTGACTTGTGAGTGAGTGAGTGACTGAGTGAGTGACTGAGTGAGTGAGTGAGTGACTGAGTGAGTGAGTGACTGAGTGACTGAGTGACTGAGTGAGTGACTGAGTGAGTGACTGAGTGACTGAGTGAGTGACTGAGTGAGTGACTGACTGAGTGAGTGACTGAGTGACTGAGTGAGTGACAGAGTGAGTGACTGAGTGACTGAGTGAGTGACTGAGTGAGTGACTGAGTGACTGAGTGACTGAGTGAGTGACTGAGTGACTGAGTGAGTGACTGAGTGAGTGACTGAGTGACTGAGTGACTGAGTGAGTGACTGAGTTAGTCGCTGAGCATGGAGGCAGGCACGTGACTTGTGAGTGAGTGAGTGACTGAGTGAGTGACTGAGTGAGTGACTGTGTGAGTGACTGAGTGACTGAGTGAGTGACTGAGTGAGTGACTGAGTGAGTGAGTGACTGAGTGACTGAGTGAGTGACTGAGTGACTGAGTGACTGAGTGAGTGAGTGAGTGACTGAGTGAGTGACTGAGTGACTGAGAGACTGCGTGAGTGACAGAGTGAGTGAGTGACTGAGTGAGTGAGTGAGTGACTGAGTGAGTGACTGAGTGACTGAGTGAGTGACTGAGTGACTGAGTGACTGAATGAGTGACTGAGTTAGTCGCTGAGCATGGAGGCAGGCACGTGACTTGTGAGTGAATGACTGAGTGAGTGACTGAGTGACTGAGTGAGTGACTGAGTGAGTGACTGAGTGAGTGGGTGAGTGACTGAGTCACTGAGTGAGTGACTGAGTGACTGAGTGTGTGACTGAGTGAGTGACTGAGTGAGTGAGTGACTGAGTGACTGAGTGACTGTGTGAGTGACTGAGTGACTGAGTGACTGAGTGACTGTGTGAGTGACTGAGTGACTGAGTGACTGAGTGAGTGACTGAGTTAGTCGCTGAGCATGGAGGCAGGCACGTGACTTGTGAGTGAGTGAGTGACTGAGTGAGTGACTGAGTGAGTGACTGAGTGACTGAGTGACTGAGTGAGTGACTGAGTGAGTGACTGAGTGACTGAGTGAGTGACTGAGTGAGTGACTGACTGAGTGAGTGACTGAGTGAGTGACTGAGTGACTGAGTGAGTGACAGAGTGAGTGACTGAGTGACTGAGTGAGTGACTGAGTGAGTGACTGAGTGAGTGACTGAGTGACTGAGTGAGTGACTGAGTGAGTGACTGAGTGAGTGAGTGACTGAGTGAGTGACTGAGTGAATAACTGAGTGACTGAGTGAGTGACTGAGTTAGTCGCTGAGCATGGAGGCAGGCACGTGACTTGTGAGCGAGTGCCAGCGCTCAATGCGGCGATCTTTGTTCTTGAGGCAGTCGAACCAATGCCTCAGCTGTTCTCCCTTGGCATTGATGCCCAGCTGCACCCCTCCTGGTGACACACACAGAGACACAGTCACACACACAGTCACACACACACAGTCACACACACAGTCACACACACACACACACAGTCACACACAGTCACACAGTCACACACAGTCACACACAGTCACACACAGTCACACACACACACAGAGACACACAGTCACACACAGTCACACACAGTCACACACACACACAGACACACACACAGTCACACACAGTCACACACACACACAGACACACACACAGTCACACACAGTCACACACACACACAGACACACACACAGTCACACACACACACACACAGTCACACACACACAGTAACATGTTCTCCCTTGGCATTGATGCCCAGCTGCACCCCTCCTGGTGACACACACAGAGACACAGTCACACACACACACACAGTCACACACACAGTCACACACAGTCACACACACACAGTCACACACACACAGTCACACACACACACAGACACACACAGAGACACATACACAGTCACACACACAGTCACACACAGTCACACACACAGTCACACACAGTCACACACACTCACAGTCACACACACACAGTCACACATACACAGTCACACACAGTCACCCACACACAGTGACACACACAGTCACACATACACAGTCACACACACACAGTCACACACACACAGTCACACACACACACAAAGACACACACACACACAGTCATACACACACACAGTCAGACACAGTCACACACACATACACACAGTCACACACACAGAGACACACACAGTCACACACACACAGTCACACACACACAGTCACACACACACAGTCACACACACAGTCACACACACACACAGACACACACACACACAGACACACACACACAGTCACACACACAGTCACACACAGTCACACACACAGTCACACACACACACAGTCACACACAGTCACACACACAGTCACACACAGAGACACACAGTCACACACAGTCACACAGTTACACAGTCACACACACACAGACACACACACAGTCACACACAGTCACACACACAGTCACACACAGTCACACACACACAGTAACATGTTCTCCCTTGGCATTGATGCCCAGCTGCACCCCTCCTGGTGACACACACAGAGACACAGTCACACACAGTTACACACAGTCACACACAGAGACACACACAGACACACACACAGAGACACACACACAGTCACACACAGTCACACAGTCACACACAGTCACACACACACAGTCACACACACACAGTCACACACACACACAGACACACACAGACACACACACAGTCACAGAGACACACAGTCACACACAGTCACACACACACACAGTCACACACAGTCACACACACAGTCACACACACAGTCACACACAGTCACACATACACAGTCACACACACACAGTCACACACATACACAGAGACACACACACAGTCAGACACAGTCACACAGTCACACACACAGTCACACACACAGAGACACACACAGTCACACACACAGTCACACACACACACAGTCACACACAGACACGCACACAGACACACACACAGACATACAGACACACACAGTCACACACACACAGTCACACACACATATATAGAGAGACACTCAGCCAATCAGATACACACTCACTCACCCACTCACCCACCCACCAACTCACTCACTGACCCACCCACTCACTCACCCACCCACTCCACCACTCACTCACCCACCCACCCACCCACTCACCCACCCACCCACTCACCCACTCACCCACTGACCCACCTACTCACCCACTCACTCTATCACTCACTCACCCACCGACTAACTCACTCACCCACCCACTCACCCACTCATCCACCCACCCACCCACTCACCCACCCACCCACTCGCCCACTCACTCACCCATCAATCACCCACCCACTCACCCACTCACTCACCCACCCACACACTCCACCCACCCACCCGCTCACTCCACCACTCACTCACCCACCCACCCACTCACCCACTCACTCTACCACTCACTCACCCACTCACTCACTGACCCACCCACTCACTCACCCACCCACTCACCCACCCACTCACTCCACCACCCACCCACTCACTCACCCACCCACCCACTCACCCACCCACCCACTCACTAACCCACCCACCCACTGACCCACCTACTCACCAACTCACTCCACGACTCACTCACTCACCCACCCACCTACTCACCCACCCACTCACCCACTCACCCACTCACTCACTCCACCACCCACCCACCCGCTCACTCACCCACTCACTCACCCACCCACCCACCCACTCACCCACCCACCCACTCACCCACCCACTCACCCACCCACTCACTCACTCCACCACCCACCCACTCACCCACCCACCCACTCACCCACCCACCCACCCACTCACTCACTCACCCACTCACTCACCCACCCACCCACCCACTCACCCACCCACCCACTCACCCACTCACCCACCCACTCACCCACCCACTCACTCACTCCACCACCCACCCACTCACCCACCCACCCACTCACCCACCCACTCACTCACCCACTCACTCCTCGACTCACTCACCCACCCACCACCCACCCACCAATGAAGTCGTTCGATTTTCCCAGGTCGTAATCCCACACCATCACATCCACTGTCCGTTTGGCCAAGTCTGCGTGTGGGATCTCAAACAGAAACTCCTGCAGACACGGAGAGAGAGAGACACGGGGAGAGAGAGAGAGACACGGGGAGAGAGAGACACGGGGAGAGAGAGATACGGGGAGAGAGAGAGAGACACGGGGAGAGAGAGACACGGGGAGAGAGAGAGAGAGACACGGGGAGAGAGAGACACGGGGAGAGAGAGACACGGGGAGAGAGAGACACGGGGAGAGAGAGAGAGAGACACGGGGAGAGAGAGACACGGGGAGAGAGACACGGGGAGAGAGAGACACGGGGAGGGAGAGACACGGGGAGAGAGAGAGAGACACGGTGAGAGAGAGACACGGGGAGAGACGGAGAGAGACACGGGGAGAGAGAGACACGGGGAGAGAGAGACACGGGGAGGGAGAGACACGGGGAGAGAGAGACACGGGAGAGAGAGACACGGGGAGAGAGAGAGACGGGGAGAGAGAGACACGGGGAGAGAGACGGGGGGAGAGAGACACGGGGGGAGAGAGACACGGGGAGAGAGAGACACGGGGGGAGAGAGACACGGGGAGAGAGAGACACGGTGAGAGAGAGAGACACGGGGAGAGAGAGAGACACGGGGAGAGAGAGACACGGGGAGGGAGAGACACGGGGAGAGAGACACGGGGAGAGAGAGAGACACGGGGAGAGAGAGAGAGAGACACGGGAAGAGAGAGACACGGGGAGAGAGAGACACGGGGAGAGAGAGACACGGGGAGAGAGAGAGACACGGGGAGAGAGAAACGGAGAGAGAGACACGGGGAGAGAGAGACACGGGGAGGGAGAGAGACACGGGGAGAGACGCGGGGAGAGAGAGACACGGGGAGAGAGAGAGAGAGACACGGGGAGAGAGAGACACGGGGAGAGAGAGAGAGAGACACGGGGAGGGAGAGACACGGGGAGAGAGAGACACGGGGAGAGAGAGAGACACGGGGAGAGAGACGAGGGGGAGAGACACGGGGAGAGAGAGACACGGGGGGAGAGATACACGGGGGGAGAGACGGGGGGGAGAGACACGGGGAGAGAGAGACACGGGGAGAGAGAGACACGGGGAGAGACACGGGGGGGACAGACACGGGGAGAGAGACACGGGGAGAGAGAGACACGGGGAGAGACACGGGGAGGGAGAGACACGGGGAGAGAGAGACACGGGGAGAGACGCGGGGAGAGAGAGACATGGTGAGAGAGAGACGGGGAGAGAGACACGGGGAGAGAGAGAGACACGGGGAGAAAGAGACACGGTGAGAGAGAGAGACACGGGGAGAGAGACGGGGGGGAGAGAGAGACACGGGGAGAGAGAGACACGGGGAGAGAGAGACACGGGGAGAGAGAGACACGGGGAGAGAGACGGGGGGGAGAGACACGGGGAGAGAGAGACACGGGGAGAGAGAGACGCGGGGAGAGAGAGACACGGTGAGAGAGAGAGACACGGGGAGAGAGAGACACGGGGAGAGAGAGAGACACGGGGAGAGAGAGACACGGGGAGAGAGACGCGGGGGGAGAAAGACACGGAGAGAGAGAGACACGGGGAGAGAGAGACACGGTGAGAGAGAGAGACACGGGGGGAGAGAGACACAGGGAGAGAGACGGGGGGGAGAGAGAGACACGGGGAGAGAGACGGGGGGGAGAGAGAGACACGGGGAGAGAGACACGGGGGGGGGGGAGAGACACGGGGAGAGAGACACGGGGAGAGAGAGACACGGGGGGAGAGAGACACGGGGGGAGAGAGACACGGGGAGAGAGACGGGGGGGAGAGACACGGGGAGAGAGAGACACGGGGAGAGAGAGACACGGTGAGAGAGAGAGACACGGGGAGAGAGACGGGGGGGAGAGAGAGACACGGGGAGAGAGAGACGGGGAGAGAGAGACACGGGGGGAGAGAGACACGGGGGGAGAGACACGGGGAGAGAGAGACACGGGGAGAGAGACACGGGGAGAGAGAGACACGGGGAGAGAGACACGGGGAGAGAGACACGGGGAGAGAGACACGGGTAGAGAGAGAGACGGGGAGAGAGAGACACAGGGAGAGAGACGGGGGGAGAGACACGGGGAGAAGAGAGAAACGGGGAGAGAGAGACACGGGGAGAGAGAGACACGTGGAGAGAGACGCGGGGGGAGAAAGACACAGGGAGAGAGACACGGGGAGAGAGACACGGGGAGAGAGACACGGGGAGAGAGACACATGGGGAGAGAGAGACACTTGGGAGAGAGACACGGGGAGAGAGAGAGAGACACGGGGGGAGAGAGACACGGGGAGAGAGAGACACGGGGAGAGAGAGACACGGGGGGAGAGAGACACGGGGAGAGAGAGACACGGGGAGAGAGACACGGGGAAAGAGAGACACGGGGAGAGAGAGAGACATGGGGAGAGAGACACGGGGAGAGAGACACGGGGAGAGAGAGAGACGGGGAGAGAGAGACACGGGGAGAGAGACGGGGGGAATGACACGGGGAGAAGAGAGACACGGGGAGAGAGAGACACGGGAAGAGAGAGAGACACGGGGAGAGAGAGACACGGGGGTAGAGAGAGACACGGGGAGAGATACACGGGGAGAGACACGGGGAGAGAGACACGGGGGGAGAGACACGGGGAGAGAGACACGGGGAGAGAGACACGGGGAGAGAGAGACACGGGGAGAGAGACACGGGGAGAGAGACACGGGGAGAGAGAGAGACGTGGAGAGAGACACGGGGAGAGAGAGGGACGGGGAGAGAGACACGGGGAGAGACACGGGGAGAGAGACACGGGGAGAGAGACACGGGGGTAGAGAGACACGGGGAGAGAGACACGGGGGGAGAGAGACACGGGGGGAGAGAGACACGGGGGGAGAGAGACACGGGGAGAGAGACACACGGGGTGTGAGAGACACGGGGTGAGAACATCACTTGTAAATATTTCTGACCCAGGAAATATTCACGACATTTAACTGTTCGTGATCTCAAAAAATTCACGACCTTTAAATATTCACCACCCACCACCGCTCACCACCGCTCAGCACCGCTCACCCAGGGCTCACCACCGCTCACCCACGACTCACCCAGGGCTCACCCAGGGCTCACCCAGGGCTCACCCAGGGCTCACCCTGGGCTCATCACCGCTCACCCTGGACTCACCCAGGGCTCACCCGGGGCTCACCCAGGGCTCACCCAGGACTCACCCAGGGCTCACCCAGGGCTCACCCAGGACTCACCCAGGGCTCACCCAGGGCTCACCCAGGGCTCATCACCGCTCACCCTGGACTCACCCAGGGCTCACCCAGGACTCACCCAGGACTCACCCAGGGCTCACCCAGGGCTCACCCAGGGCTCACCCAGGACTCACCCAGGACTCACCCAGGGCTCACCCAGGACTCACCCAGGACTCACCCAGGGCTCACCCAGGACTCACCCAGGGCTCACCCAGGACTCACCCAGGACTCACCCAGGGCTCACCCAGGACTCACCCAGGGCTCACCCAGGGCTCACCCAGGGCTCACCCAGGGCTCACCCAGGGCTCACCCAGGGCTCACCCAGGGCTCACCACCGCTCACCCTGGGCTCACCCAGGGCTCACCCAGGACTCACCCACGGCTCACCACGGCTCACCCTGGGCTCACCCAGGGCTCACCACCGCTCACCCTGGGCTCACCACCACTCACCACCGCTCACCCTAGGCTCACCCACGGCTCACCACCGCTCACTCAGGGCTCACCCAGGGCTCACCCAGGGCTCACCCACGGCTCACCACGGCTCACCCAGGACTCACCCTGGGCTCATCACCGCTCACCCTGGGCTCACCCAGGGCTCACCCAGGGCTCACCCAGGACTCACCCTGGGCTCATCACCGCTCACCCTGGGCTCACCCAGGGCTAACCACGGCTCACCACCGCTCACCACGGCTCACCCAGGGCTCACCCAGGGCTCACCACGGCTCACCCTGGGCTCACCACCGCTCACCCTGGGCTCACCACCACTCACCAGGGCTCACCCAAGACTCACCCAGGGCTCACCACCGCTCACCCAGGGCTCACCCAGGGCTCACCCAGGACTCACCCAGGGCTCACCCAGGGCTCACCCAGGGCTCACCCAGGGCTCACCCAGGGCTCACCCAGGGCTCACCCAGGACTCACCACCGCTCACCACGGCTCACCACCGCTCACCACCGCTCACCCACGGCTCACCACCGCTCACCACCGCTCACCCAGGGCTCACCCAGGGCTCACCACCGCTCACCACGGCTCACCCAGCGCTGCTCACCACGGCTCACCCTGGGCTCACCACGGCTCACCCGGGGCTCACCACCGCTCACCCTGGGCTCACCCAGGGCTCACCCAGGACTCACCACCGCTCACCACGTCTCACCACCGCTCACCACCGCTCACCCACGGCTCACCACCACTCACCAGGGCTCACCCACGGCTCACCCAGGGCTCACCCAGGGCTCACCACGGCTCACCCAGGGCTCACCCAAGACTCACCCTGGGCTCACCCTGGGCTCATCACCGCTCACCACCGCTCACCAGGACTCACCCTGGGCTCACCACGGCTCACCCTGGGCTCACCACCGCTCACCCTGGGCTCACCACCGCTCAACACGGCTCACCACCACTCACCACCGCTCACCCTGGGCTCACCACCGCTCACCACCGCTCACCAGGACTCACCCTGGGCTCACCACGGCTCACCACGGCTCACCCTGGGCTCACCCACGGCTCACCCACGGCTCACCACGGCTCACCACCGCTCACCACGGCTCACCCAGGGCTCACCACGGCTCACCACCGCTCACCACGGCTCACCTCGTTAAACTCGGGGTTGAGGGTCTTCTTCTTCACTGTAGTCTTGTGCTTTGCCTTCTTTCCACTGTCGGGTCTCAGGTAGCTACAGGGCACGCACAGAGAGAGAGACCCTGGATATAAATATACCACTCACTCACTCACCTACTCACTCACCTACTCAACTACTCACTCACCCACTCACTCACCTACTCACCTACTCACTCACTCACCCACTCACTCACACACTCACCTACTCAACTAATCACCTACTCACTCACCACTCACTCACACACTCACCTACTCACTCACCACTCACTCACTCACTCACCTACTCAACTAATCACCTACTCACTCACCACTCACTCACACACACACTCACCTACTCACCTACTCACTCACTCACTCACACACTCACCTACTCACTCACTCACCTACTCACATACTCACCACTCACTCACTCACATACTCAACTAATCACCTACTCACTCACCACTCACTCACTCACACACTCACCTACTCACCTACTCACTCACTCACCTACTCACTCACTCACATACTCACTCACCTACTCAACTACTCACTCACCCACTCACTCACCTACTCACTCACCTACTCAACTACTCACTCACCCACTCACTCACACACTCACCTACTCAACTAATCACCTACTCACTCACTCACCTACTCACTCACCTACTCAACTACTCACTCACCTACTCACTCACTCACATACTCAACTAATCACCTACTCACTCACCACTCACTCACACACTCACCTACTCAACTAATCACCTACTCACTCAACCACTCACTCACTCACATACTCAACTAATCACCTACTCACTCACCACTCACTCACTCACATACTCAACTAATCACCTACTCACTCAACCACTCACTCACTCACACACTCACCTACTCACATACTCACTCACCCACTCACTCACTCACTCACATACTCACTCACCTACTCACTCACCACTCACTCACTCACTCACATACTCACACACCTACTCAACTACTCACTCACCCACTCACTCACCTACTCACCTACTCACTCACCACTCACTCACTCACTCACCTACTCAACTGCTCACCTACTCACTCACCACTCACTCACTCACACACTCACCCACTCACCTACTCACTCACCACTCACTCACACACTCACCTACTCACTCACCTACTCACATACTCACTCACCCACCCACTCACTTACCTACTCACTCACTCACTCACATACTCAACTAATCACCTACTCACTCACCACTCACTCACACACTCACCTACTCACTCACCTACTCAACTACTCACTCACCCACTCACTCACCTACTCACCTACTCACTCACCACTCACCCACTCACTCACCTACTCACATACTCACCACTCACTCACAGACTCACCTACTCACCTACTCACCTACTCACTCACCTACTCACTCACTCACCTACTCACATACTCACCTACTCAATCACTCACTCATCCACTCACTCACCTACTCACATACTCACCACTCACTCACTCACTCACCTACTCAACTACTCACCTACTCACTCACCTACTCACTCACTCACCTACTCACATACTCACCTACTCAATCACTCACCTACTCACTCACTCACCTACTCACATACTCACCACTCACTCACTCACTCACCTACTCAACTAATCACCTACTCACTCATCACTCACTCACTCACACACTCACCTACTCACCTACTCACTCACTCACATACTCACCACTCACTCACTCACCTACTCACCTACTCACTCACCTACTCACATACTCACCTACTCAATCACTCACTCATCCACTCACTCACCTACTCAACTACTCACTCACCCACCCACTCATTCACTCACTCACCTACTCACCTACTCACTCACCTACTCACCTACTCACATACTCACTCACTTACCTAATCACCTACTCACTCACTCACCCACTCACCCACTCACTCACCTACTCACTCACCTACTCACTCACTCACACACTCACCTACTCACCTACTCACTCACCCACCCACTCACTCACCTACTCACTCACTCACACACTCACCTACTCACCTACTCACATTATCACTCACCACTCACTCACTCACACACTCACCTACTCACCTACTCACTCACCCACCCACTCACTCACCTACTCACTCACACACTCACACACTCACCTACATACATACTCACATACTCACTCACCCACCCACTCGCTCACCTACTCACTCACTCACTCACCTACTCACCTACTCACATATTCACATACTCACTCACCACTCACTCACTCACCTACTCACTCACTCACCTACTCACTCAACCACTCACTCACCTACTAATTTGCTCACTCACAGACTCACTCACTCACCTACTCACACACTCACTCACCAACTCACTCACTCACTCACCTACTCACTCACTCACTCACACACTCACCTACTCACATACTCACCTACTCACTCACTCACATTCACTCACCCACTAACCTACTCACTCACTCATCCACTCACCTACTCACTCACTCACCTACTCACTCACTCACTCATCCACTCACACACTCACTCACCCACTCACTCACTCACACATTCACTCACCTACTCACGCACTCACCCACTAATTCACCTACTCACTCACTCATCCACTCACTCACTTACCCACTCACCCACTCACCTACACACTCACTCACCTACTCACCTACTCACTCACCTACTCACTCACCTACACACTCATTCACTCACCTACTCACTCACCTACTCACTCACCTACACACCCACTCACTCACCCACTCACTCACTCACCCACCCACCCACCCGCTCACTCACCCACTCACTCACCCACCCACCCACCCACTCACCCACCCACCCACTCACCCACTCACCCACCCACTCACCCACCCACTCACTCACTCCACCACCCACTCACCCACCCACTCACCCACCCACTCACCCACCCACTCACTCACTCACTCACCCACTCACCCACTCACTCACCCAATCACGCGATCACCCACAGAGTCACCCACAGTGACAGAGTCACCCACAGAGTCACCCACAGAGTCACCCACAGAGTCACCCAAAGAGTCACCCACAGAGTCACCCACAGAGTCACCCACATCTTGACGAAGGGATCTGAGTATCCGTTGGCGTCCATGGCTGCGAGGTGGACGCAGCGGACGACTCCCACCACGAGTCCACCCCTCTGCGTGCTGTAGCGGAGCGAGATCAGGATCCGACCCCGCTCCTCCGCAGCCGCCTCCTCGCCCTTGTCCACCTGTGGACGATCACCGGTGGACAATCACGGGTGGGTAGGGGTGGACTCACTCACTCACTCACCCACTCACTCAACCACTCACCCACTCACCCACTCACTCACTCACCTACTCACTCAGCCACTCACTCACCCACCCACCCACCCACCCCCCCCACTCACTCACTCACTCACCCACCCACTCACCCACCCACTCACCCACCCACCCACTCACCCACCCACTCACTCACTCACCCACTCACCCACCCACTCACCCACCCACCCACTCACCCACCCACTCACTCACTCACCCACTCACCCACCCACTCACCCACCCACCCACTCACCCACCCACTCACCCACCCACCCACTCACCCACCCACTCACTCACTCACCCACTCACCCACTCACTCACCCACTCACCCACTCACCTACTCACCTACTGACTCACCTACTCACCTACTGACTCACCCACTCACTCAACCACTCACTCACTCACTCAACCACCCACTCACCCACTCACCCACCCACCCACCCACTCACCCACCCACTCACCCACCCACTCACTAACCAACCCACCCACTCACCCACCCACCCACCCACTCACCCACTCACTCACTCACTCACCCACTCACTCACTCACCCACTCACTCACCCACTCACTCACCCACTCACTCACCCACCCACCCACCCACCACCCCCCCACCCCCCCCCACCACCCACCACCACCCCCCCACTAACAGGAAGCTGTCTCTCCAGACAAATGTTGTAGCTCCTCGTCTGATTCGGGTTGAGTCTCTTGAGTGGGACTCGTGTCTCCCCGATACACTCGTTGTGGCCTAGCTTGTCCTCATCGTAAACAGAGATCCTACACAACAACAACATCATCATCATCAACATCATCAAAATCATCATCATCAACATCATCATCAACAACATCATCATCATCAACAACATCATCAACATCATCATCAACATCATCATCAACATCATCAACATCATCATAATCAACATCATCAACATCATCATCAACATCATCAACATCATCAACAACATCATCATCAACATCATCATCAACATCATCATCATCAACATCAACATCATCAACATCATCAACATCATCATCAACATCATCATCAACATCATCAACATTATCATCATCAACATCATCAACATCATCATAATCAACATCATCAGCCACATCATCATCAGGGTGAGTGGGAGAGTGAGTGACTGAGTGACTGAGTGAGTGAGTGGGTGAGTGAGTGAGTGGGTGAGTGGGTGAGTGACTGAGTGGGTGAGTGAGTGAGTGGGTGAGTGGGTGAGTGAGTGAGTGAGTGGGTGAGTGAGTGAGTGGGTGGGTGACTGAGTGCGTGACTGAGTGACTGAGTGAGTGGGTGAGTGGGTGAGTGAATGACTGAGTGAGTGCGTGAGTGAGTGACTGAGTGAGTGACTGAGTGAGTGCCTGAGTGAGTGCCTGAGTGAGTGACTGAGTGACTGAACAACAGAGTGAGTGAGTGACTGAGTGACTGAGTGAATGACTGAGTGAGTGCGTGAGTGAATGACTGAGTGACTGAGTGACTGAGTGCGTGAGTGAGTGACTGAGTGACTGAGTGAGTGAGTGACTGAGTGACTGAGTGACTGAGTGCGTGAGTGACTGAGTGACTGAGTGAGTGAGTGACTGAGTGACTGAGTGAATGACTGAGTGAGTGCGTGAGTGACTGAGTGACTGAGTGAGTGACTGACTGAGTGAGTGACTGACTGACTGAGTGCGTGACTGAGTGACTGAGTGAGTGACTGAGTGACTGAGTGACTGACTGAGTGAACGACTGAGTGAGTGACTGACTGACTGAGTGAACGACAGAGGGAATGACTGAAGGAGTCCACCTTAGAGTCTTGCGTAACAAGTCATCATCCGTGATTCCGTAGTAGGTAAGCGTCTCATTCCACGCTGGGTTCAGAGTGTTCCTCAGGGTCTTCGTGCGTAGCTTCGTAGCCTGGGGCAACAGCGCTGCTCATGATGATGATGCTGATGATGCTGATGATGGTGATGATGGTGATGCTGCTGATGATGATGATGGTGATGATGCTGATGATGATGATGCTGATGATGCTACTACTGATGATGATGATACTACTGATGATGATCATGATCATGGTGCTACTACTGCTGCTGCTGCTGATGATGATGCTGCTGCTGATGCTGATGATGCTGATGATGATGCTGATGATGATGCTACTGCTGCTGATGATGATACTACTACTGATGATGATCATGATGCTACTACTGATGATGATGATACTACTACTGATGATCATCATGATGCTACTACTACTACTGCTGCTGACGATGATGATGCTGATGATGCTACTGCTACTGATGATGATGATGATGCTACTACTATTGATGATGATGCTACTACTGCTGATGATGATACTACTGCTGATGATGATGATACTACTACTACTACTGATGATGATGATGATACTACTACTGCTGATGATGCTACTACTGATGATGATGATGCTACTACTACTGATGATGCTACTACTGATGATGATGATGCTACTGATGATGATGATGACCATGCTACTACTACTGATGATGCTACTGATGATGATGATGATGCTACTACTATTGATGATGATACTACTACTGCTGATGATGATACTACTACTGCTGATGATGCTACTACTGCTGATGATGATGCTACTACTATTGATGATGATGCTACTACTGCTGATGATGATACTACTGCTGATGATGATGATACTACTACTACTGCTGATGATGATGATACTACTACTGCTGATGATGCTACTACTGATGATGATGATGCTACTACTACTGATGATGCTACTACTGATGATGATGATGCTACTGATGATGATGATGACCATGCTACTACTACTGATGATGCTACTGATGATGATGATGATGCTACTACTATTGATGATGATACTACTACTGCTGATGATGATACTACTACTGCTGATGATGCTACTACTGCTGATGATGATGCTACTACTACTGCTGCTGATGATGCTGCTGCTGCTGCTGATGATGATGATGCTGATAATGATGCTGATAATGCTGCTGATGATGCTACTACTACTTCTACTGATGATGATGCTACTACTGATGATGATGCTACTACTGATGATGATGATACTACTACTGATGATGATGATACTACTACTGATGATGATGATACTGATGATGATGCTACTACTGATGATGATGCTACTACTGATGATGATGATGATACTACTACTGATGATGATGATACTACTACTGATGATGCTACTACTACTGCTGCTGATGATGATGCTACTACTACTGATGATGATGCTACTACTACTGATGATGATGATGCTACTACTGATGATGCTACTGATGATGATGACGATGATGCTACTACTGATGATGATGATGCTACTACTGATGATGCTACTGATGATGATGACGATGATGCTACTACTGATGATGATGATGCTACTACTGATGATGATGATGATGCCACTGATGATGATGCTACTACTAATGCTGATGATGATGATACTACTACTGATGATGATGATACTACTACTGACGATGATGATGATGCGACTGATGATGATGCTACTACTACTGATGATGATGATGCCACTGATGATGATGATGCCACTGATGATGATAATGATGATGCTACTTCTGATGATGATACCACTGATGATGATGATGCTACTACTACTGATGATGATGCTACTGCTGCTGATGATGATGATGCTACTGCTGATGATGATGATGCTACTACTACTGATGATGATGCTACTGCTGCTGATGATGCTACTGATGATGATGCTATTGCTGATGATGATGATGCCACTGATGATGATGCTACTACTGCTGGTACTGCTGATGATGCTGCTGCTGGTACTGCTGATGATGCTGCTACTACTACTACTGCTAATGATGCTACTGCTGCTGCTGGTACTGCTGATGATGCTGCTGCTGGTACTGCTGATGATGCTGCTGCTGCTGGTGCTGCTGGTACTGCTGATGATGCTGCTGCTGGTACTGCTGATGATGCTGCTGCTGGTACTGCTGATGATGCTACTGCTGATGATGCTGCTGCTGGTACTGCTGATGATGCTACTGCTGATGATGCTGCTGCTGGTACTGCTGATGATGCTGCTACCACTACTACAGCTGCTGGTGCTGCTGGTACTGCTGATGATGCTGCTGGTTTCACCTTGCTAGCCCCGGGTAGCAAGTACAGCTTCACGTAGGGGTCGGCCAGCCCGTTCGAGTCCATCGCCTTGAGGCCCTGCAGGAGAGGAGCGGTGGTGCAGCGGTTAGCGCACTGTGTATGTGTGTCTGTGTGTGTGTGTCTGTGTGTGTATGTGTGTGTGTGACTGTGTGTGTCTGTGTGTGTGTATGTGTGTCTGTGTGTGTGTGTCTGTGTGTGTGTGTGTGACTGTGTGTGTCTGTGTGTGTATGTGTGACTGTATGTGTGTGTGCATCTGTGTGTGTGTCTGTGTGTATGTGTGTGTATGTGTGTTTGTGTGTGTGTTTGTGTGTGTGTATATGTGTGTGTATGTGTGTGTGACTGTGTGTGTATGTGTGTGTGTAACTGTGTGTGTGTGACTGTGTCTGTGTGTAACTGTGTGTGTATGTGTTTGTGTGTGTGACTGTATGTGTGTGTGTGTCTGTGTGTGTGTATCTGTGTGTGTGTGTGTGTATCTGTGTGTGTGTCTGTATGTGTGTGTGACTGTGTGTGTGTGTGACTGTGTGTGTGTATGTATGTGTGTGACTGTGTGTGTGACTGTGTGTGTATGTGTGTATGTGTGCGTGTATGTGTGACTGTGTGTGACTGTGTATGTGTGTGTCTGTGTGTGTGTGACTGTGTCTGTGTGTGTATGTGTGACTGTGTGTGTATGTGTGTGTGTAACTGTGTGTGTGTGACTGTGTCTGTGTGTAACTGTGTGTGTATGTGTTTGTGTGTGTGACTGTATGTGTGTGTGTGTCTGTGTGTGTGTATCTGTGTGTGTGTGTGTATCTGTGTGTGTGTCTGTATGTGTGTGTGACTGTGTGTGTGTGTGTGTGACTGTGTGTGTGTATGTATGTGTGTGACTGTGTGTGTGACTGTGTGTATGTGTGTATGTGTGCGTTTATGTGTGACTGTGTGTGACTGTGTATGTGTGTGTCTGTGTGTGTGTGACTGTGTCTGTGTGTGTATGTGTGTGTGTAACTGTGTGTGTGTGTGTGACTGTGTCTGTGTGTGTGTAACTGTGTGTATGGGTGTGTGTGTGTGTATGTGTGTATGTGTGACTGTGTGTGTGTGTGTGACTGTGTGTGTGTGTGTATGTATGTGTCTGTGTGTGTGTATGTGTGTGTGTCTGTGTGTGTGACTGTGTGTATGTGTGTGTGTCTGTGTGTGTGTGCCTGTGTGTGTGTATGTGTGTATGTGTGTGTGTAACTGTGTGTGTGTGACTGTGTGTGTGTGTGACTGTGTGTGTGTGTATGTATGTGTCTGTGTGTGTGTGTGTATGTGTGTGTGTCTGTGTGTGTGACTGTGTGTATGTGTGTGTGTCTGTGTGTGTGTGCCTGTGTGTGTATGTGTGTATGTGTGTGTGTAACTGTGTGTGTGTGACTGTGTGTGTGTGTCAGTGTGTATGTATGTGTCTGTGTGTGTATGTGTGTGTGTCTGTGTGTGTGACTGTGTGTATGTGCGTGTGTGTCTGTGTGTGTGTGTCTGTGTGTGTATGTGTGTGTAAGTGTGTATGTGTGTGTGTAACTGTGTGTGTGTGACTGTGTGTGTGTATGTGTGTGTGTATGTGTGTATGTGTGTGTGTAACTGTGTGTGTGTGACTGTATGTGTGTATGTGTGTATGTATGTGTGTGACTGTGTGTGACTGTGTGTATGTGTGTGTATGTATGTGTGTGTATGTGTGTGTGTATGTGTGTGTGTATGTGTGTGTGTCTGTGTGTGTGTGTATATGTATGTGTGTGTGTATGTGTGTATGTGTGTGTGTGTATGTGTGTATGTCTGTGTGTGTATATGTGTGTATGTGTGTATGCGTGTGTGTATGTATGTGTGTATGTGTGTGTATGTGTGTGACTGTGTGTGTGTATGTATGTGTGTGTATGTGTGTGTGACTGTGTGTATGTATGTGTGTGTGTCTGTGTGTGTGTCTGTGTGTATGTGTGTGTATGTGTGTCTGTGTGTGTGTGTGTGACTGTGTGTGTGTGTGTCTGTGTGTATGTGTGTGTGTATGTGTGTGTGACTGTGTGTGTGTGTAAACTAAACAATGCTAATTGTCGCAGCTGCGTCACTCTTTAGTCATTAGCGACGTGAACGTCACCATGGTGATAGCAACTCGACCACGTGACCTATGTCATCATCACTGTCTTGACATTCATAGAAGCACTCATAGAGATTCACACTCATAGAGATTCATAGAGATTCACACTCATAGAGACCCACAGAGACTCACAGAGACCCACACTCATAGAGACCCACACTCATAGAGACACACACTCATAGAGACACACAGAGACCCACAGAGACCCACACTCATAGAGACCCATAGAGACCCACAGAGACCCACAGAGACTCACAGAGACTCACACTCATAGAGCTTCACACTCATAGAGATTCACACTCATAGAGATTCATAGAGACCCACACTCATACAGACCCATAGAGACCCACACTCATAGAGACCCACAGAGACCCACAGAGACTCACACTCATAGAGACCCACACTCATAGAGATTCACACTCATAGAGATGCATAGAGACTCACACTCATAGAGACCCACAGAGAACCACAGAGACCCACACTCATAGAGATTCATAGAGACTCACACTCATAGAGACTCACAGAGACCCACACTCATAGAGACCCACAGAGACTCACACTCATAGAGACCCACACTCATAGAGACCCACAGAGACTCACACTCATAGAGACTCACAGAGACCCACACTCATAGAGACCCACAGAGACTCACACTCATAGAGACCCACAGAGACCCACACTCATAGAGACCCACAGAGACTCACACTCATAGAGACCCACAGTGACCCACAGAGACTCACACTCATAGAGACCCACACTCATAGAGACCCACAGAGACTCACACTCATAGAGACCCACAGAGACTCTATGGGTCTCTATGGGTCTCTATGTGTGTATATAGGTCTCTATGAGTCTATGAGTGTCTATGGGTCTCTATGGGTGTCTATGGGTGTCTATGAGCCTCTATGGGTGTCTATGGGTCTCTATGGGTGTCTATGGGTGTCTATGGGTCTCTATGGGTCGCTATGGGTGTCTATGGGTCTCTATGAGTCTCTATGGGTGTCTATGGGTCTCTATGGGTGTCTATGGGTCTCTATGGATCTCTATGAGTCTCTATGGGTGTCTATGGGTGTCTATGAGTCTCTATGGATGTCTATGAGTCTCTATGGGTCTCTATGGGTGTCTATGGGTGTCTATGGGTCTCTATGGGTCTCTATGGGTGTCTATGGGTCTCTATGGGTCTCTATGGGTGTCTATGTGTCTCTATGTGTCTCTATGGGTCTCTATGGGTCTCTATGGGTGTCTATGGGTGTCTATGAGTCTCTATGGGTGTCTATGGGTGTCTATGGGTCTCTATGGGTTTCTATGGGTCTCTATGGGTCTCTATGTGTGTCTATGGGTCTCTATGAGTCTATGGGTGTCTATGGGTCTCTATGGGTGTCTATGGGTGTCTATGAGCCTCTATGGGTGTCTATGGGTCTCTATGGGTGTCTATGGGTGTCTATGGGTCTCTATGGGTCGCTATGGGTGTCTATGGGAATCTATGAGTCTCTATGGGTGTCTATGGGTCTCTATGGGTGTCTATGGGTCTCTATGGATCTCTATGAGTCTCTATGGGTGTCTATGGGTGTCTATGAGTCTCTATGGATGTCTATGAGTCTCTATGGGTCCCTATGGGTGTCTATGGGTGTCTATGGGTCTCTATGGGTATCTATGGGTGTCTATGGGTCTCTATGGGTCTCTATGGGTGTCTATGTGTCTCTATGTGTCTCTATGGGTCTCTATGGGTGTCTATGGGTCTCTATGAGCCTCTATGGGTGTCTATGGGTCTCTATGGCTCTCTATGGGTGTCTATGTGTCTCTATGGGTCTCTATGGGTCTCTATGGGTGTCTATGGGTGTCTATGAGTCTCTATGGGTGTCTATGGGTGTCTATGGGTCTCTATGGGTTTCTATGGGTCTCTATGGGTCTCTATGTGTGTCTATGGGTCTCTATGAGTCTATGGGTGTCTATGGGTCTCTATGGGTGTCTATGGGTGTCTATGAGCCTCTATGGGTGTCTATGGGTCTCTATGGGTGTCTATGGGTGTCTATGGGTCTCTATGGGTCGCTATGGGTGTCTATGGGTCTCTATGAGTCTCTATGGGTGTCTATGGGTCTCTATGGGTGTCTATGGGTCTCTATGGATCTCTATGAGTCTCTATGGGTGCCTATGGGTGTCTATGAGTCTCTATGGATGTCTATGAGTCTCTATGGGTCCCTATGGGTGTCTATGGGTGTCTATGGGTCTCTATGGGTATCTATGGGTGTCTATGGGTCTCTATGGGTCTCTATGGGTGTCTATGTGTCTCTATGTGTCTCTATGGGTCTCTATGGGTGTCTATGGGTCTCTATGAGCCTCTATGGGTGTCTATGGGTCTCTATGGCTCTCTATGGGTCTCGATGGGTGTCTATGGGTGTCTATGGGTCTCTATGAGTCTCTATGGGTGTCTATGGGTGTCTATGGGTCTCTATGGGTGTCTATGGGTCTCTATGAGTCTCTATGAGTCTCTATGGGTGTCTATGGGTCTCTATGCGTCTCTATGGATGTCTATGGGTCTCTATGAGTCTCTATGAGTCTCTATGGGTGTCTATGGGTGCCTATGGGTGTCTATGGGTGTCTATGGGTCTATGGGTCTCTATGGATGTCTATGGGTTTCTATGAGTCTTTATGGGTGTCTATGCGTGTCTATGGGTGTCTATGGGTCTCTCTGGGTGTCTATGGGTGTCTATGAGTCTCTCTGGGTGTCTATGGGTCTCTATGGGTCTCTATGGGTGTCTATGGGTCTCTATGGGTGTCTATGGGTTTCTATGGGTGTCTATGGGTCTCTATGGGTGTCTATGGGTGTCTATGGGTCTCTATGAGTCTCTATGGGTGTCTATGGGTGTCTATGGGTCTCTATGGGTCTCTATGGGTGTCTATGGGTCTCTATGGGTCTCTAAGGGTGTCTATGGGAGTCTATGGGTCTCTATGGATCTCTATG